CGGTCCCTTCCCTCCCTCTCACATGTGTGATGTATGATGGGATGTCGTAACAGTCCAGGTCAGGTCAGGACTTATCTCCAAGTTTTCCGCTGTGCTATTAAATGCCATTGTTCATGTATCGGGATGTACACTGTCTGTTGATATTACGTTAGCAGTCCACTGTCCATTCAGTCTTTTTCATCACAATGCGGATCCTTGGCTGAACTCTCAGTGCCCGACTGGGCATGTAACACCATACCAGGCCTACAGAGCATATGCACCGGGGCCAGCAAGGGCAGCGACTGCAATATGGATCCCCCCGGACCCCCGTCTCGATGTGTTACACTGGGAACATGATTGACAGGACGGGTGGTTGGTCTATGTGCTGGGGGCATTAGAGTTAGACGTCGCTTGTGTCTTTTGCATATATGCCCTGAATACTACACCGGAACGTGAGGCTTTTTTCAATAGATTCAGACGAAAATCCCCCAAGGCATCCTGAGCATCCTCGCTGTGGATTTTAATACAGCTCCTGACCGATGGCTGGATGGTTGGCAAGTTCCCCCCTCCACCAAATGCTAGGTGGAGGAAGACGAGAGCATTATGTAGCCCTCTGTCCCTCTTTGGCACCGTTCGTTGTTCCTTCCCCACAGAGCAAACATTTACGTGTGTTAGGAACCAGGATCCGACCAGGCTGTCCAAACCGAGAATTTACCCGATACTTTCTTCGAAAGACTTGGCAGGCTTCCTGACACTGGCAGCAATCCTCCCAGGCTCCCACCAAGCCCATATCCAATATTAGATCACAAGATGTATATGATAGCGCTTACCTTTTGAAAAAGGTCGGACCAAGGCCCTCGCTTACAAATTGAACACTTCTCTGCTCCATTTCACATCGTTCCAACAATATTTGACTCAAGCTTGGGAATATTGGAACAAATGTCGCCCTGAAGTGGGGTCTTCCCTCATTTGGTTCGATAATGGTTTGTTCTTTTTGGCCAAAAAATACAAGGAATGTTCTAAGCAGCTAGCCAGACAGTGTAACCAGCATGAAATGGACCTTTTGAGCCATCTCAAAGACCTGGAGTAGCAGGTAATGCCGCAAGATCCCGATTGATACGTGCAAGATATCCAAACAGTGAAATCACAATTATTTCAGCAAGCTCAGTATCGCTGGCAAGGCACTCGAATACGTGGGAAACTTTCTAAATACACCACCGCAAGGTCAATGGACACATTTTTTTTGGCCTCACCCGTGTCAGATTCAAGCGTACCGTCGTGGAGAGCTTGTATGGGCCAGGGGGGATTAAGACCCCCCCAATTCTTACTACAGCTGGCTACATGAAACTAGCACGAGATTTCTTTAAGGATCTTTTTGCATTCCATATCCCCCTCACGAACGGAGACTCTCGGCAAAAGCAGGTAGATGATTTCCTTCGGCCCATTGATAAATCCATCTCCCTAGAGCAACGCGAAAGGCTAGAGACCCCCCTGACGAAGGAGGAGATATGGACAACCCTTTTGTAGATGAACGAGGAAAAAAATCCAGGGTTGGACGGTCTCCCCAAGGAATTCTGGGAGACAATGTGGGATTGTATGGGCGCTAATCTCATGGATTACTTCAACGAGGTGTGGCACACGGGTGATATGGGGGAGATGGTGGGCCCAGGAGTATTGTCCCTCCTCTACAAAAAGGGGGACAAGTTCAACATACGGAACTACCGGGTCATCACTCTCCTCACTGTAGTCTCTAAAATGTTGGCCAAAGCTTTGGTAAAGAGGATGATCCCAGTCCCGGAGAGGGTGATCCACCTCTCACAAACAGGGTGTATGCAACATAGACAAATTATACAAGAAAATATCTTACTAGTCCATGAGATAATACAATTGACAAAACAACCTAAGCAGAATGCAACTATTATATCTATCGATTTGGAAAAAACATACAACTACGTTGACTGATACTTTTTAAGTTTTTAGATAAAAGCTTAAAAAAATAAATGTTGGGTCGGTCTTCCATAGGTGGGTACATATCCTCCATCAGAATCCTACCACAAGAGTGCAAATAAATGAGACTTTAGCCCCGCCGATCAAGTTGGAACGATTAGTGCGCCAAAAGAGACCCCATAACACCCTTCCTTTTTCGTATTATCATGGAAGCCCTATCAGCCAACCTGCGGACAAACAAGGACATTGCAAGAATGAAGATCACTCGAATTCCTGAGGATGCAGTTCCAGATCACTCAAATTCCTGAGGATGCATTTCCAGTGTGCTCGTTATTCGCGGACGACCTCACCATTATGGTGGATGCAACACAAAGAAACATAGAGGAGATTCAACACGTAATGGACAGGTTCGGTCAGGTGTCCGATATGGTGCTTAATTGAGAGAGTAACCAGGGGTGGTGGATTCACCATCAAGGAGGCTGGCCGCCTGACTCCCCCAACATACAATGGTTCCCATTGCAAGCCTCGATTCACATAATGGGGGTCTCTATGACTGCACAAGGACGCCTCGTAGCCAATGATGACTAGGTCTGTGCCCTTGGCCAAGTTCGCCAATTGGCAAAATAAGCATACCTCCATCTTCGACAGAGCAATGGCTATAAACGATGTGGTGTTTGCCACAATGCAGTATGAATCGGTGTTGTGGCCATTGAGCAAAGCCGCATTTCAGACCCTGAGGGCCAAGGTGGTAGCCTTCTTATGGAGAGGGGATTATGAGAGGGCAAACGTCACTAGCGGAATTGCATGAGAGTCAATCACACAACCGAAGACCGTAGGGGGACTGGGCATTATATATCCGATAGTACAGGTGCAGACCCTCCATCTTATGTAGTTGAAAATGTTGATCTTCTCCCCGGAGAGCCCTTTGGCCAATTACCCGTAAAATCCACGGCCAGACAGTAGAAAAGTTTGGGCCAACTCTGTTGAAGAGTTGGCGCAGGCTCCCCCTCCCTGAGAAACGGTCGCCGGAGTGATGAGAGGAAGTGTACCGACAACCGTTGTTTGACAACCGGTGGATTGCTTTCTGTCATGGGTAGGTCCTACACAGCTCAGCAGCCCCGTGAAAAAGATGGGTCAAGAAGGGGCAATGAAACACCCGCGGACGCGTCTGCGGGTCCGATCTCGGATGGCAGATGCAGATGGGGCCGCGTCCGCGGCCGACGTGGTCCGTGCTGTTGACCCGATTTCACCAGAATTTTCCTTAATTAAATAATAGGTTTAAAAAAAAAAAATGGGGTTGTAGGGAATTTTAAGCCTTACAACCCCTTTTTTTTTTTTTTTGGAATCCGACTTTGTTTAGGATTTTAGGGCGACCCGATCGCCCCCTTTCTGTTCGTAATAATTATGGAAGCATTGGCGGCGAACTTGCGTTCTCACAGG